CCGCCAAGCCCTGATAGGTAACCTCCCTCTGTTGTCCCTTCCAGCAGCGCCTGGAGCCGGGCCCCTCTGCAGCGTGGGCTCCCCCAGGGGGTGCCCCCCAGGGAAGTGTTCCCAGGTGGGATGTCTGTGCCTCCTGGCCCACGGGAGGCCCCGCGGCCCCCAGCCAGCATGCACAGCTCCCACCCTCTGCTTTGCACTTTATTCTTCAAAGATGAAAGGCGTCCCGTCCGTGCATGGCATGTCCCCACGTCCCCACCGCCCCCACAGCCCCCGCCGCTGGCCACACTAGCCTGCTCCCTCCTCACTCACTCTTCAAGACACCTCCCTGGGGTCACCGCCTCAGGACACCGTCCTGACTGCTGAACCCCGGGCCACCCGCCCGCCTCGGCTTGGGGCGTCTCTGGTCCCCGTGGCACGCACCTGCCCCACGGAAGGGGCACTTACACCTGGGTAGCCCAGGAGCCGCCGTGCCCTCTGGGACAGAGAAGACTGATTCCTCTGTAGCCCCGGCACCCGGCCTGCCCCTCAGTCGATGCTCGGGAAATATTTGCTGAACTGCGAGCAAACCTGATGAATATTTACACTGTACTACATGCCCACGGCTCTGCCTGGCACCTCAAACGCCTGCTCCGGGGAAAGTGCGACGAGACTTCCCGGGAAGGGCTCATGCTCGAGCCTACAAAGCTCCCGTGTATGGGGGTCGGCTCCAGTTGGCCCCCCACCCCCGTGTGGGGCTCAGGGGAGGAGCCCCCCAGGGCTGGGCCAGCATCACCATGCCGCCCGTGACCCGGCAGCCGCCGTGGCCTTCGTGGTTTCTGCAGGCGGACGTGAACGTGTAAGGCCCAGGGAGAAGCAGGGCGGCGTCTCCTCCAAGGCTGGCGGGCGGGCAGCTCCTCGGCCTGGGCTCTGTGGACCTGGCTTGACGGGCCTAACCCCTCCTCACGCTGCTTTCCCCCAGTCCCATGCATCAGGGGGCTCTTGCCTTGGCCGGCTGGGGCTCCCGCGCTGAGTGGGGCGACGGCGGGGGGGGGGCAGGGCCACGGCTTGCCCCCAGTTCTGCCTCCACTGGACGCGTGTGGTCTGGGGCTTCTCAGGCCTCTCTCGGTGTCCCCATCTGTCAAGTGAGGACAGTAGCCCACCGGGGCCTTACGGGCATGAATGAATGTGGACAGACAAGATAGGATTATTATTGCACAGGCGCCCAAGAAGAGGGCTGGAGGGACTGCGAGGTGGAGTGGGGGGTGCGGGGAAGCCACGCCCAGCAGGGCCCTGTCCCCGTCACACCAGAGTGGGTGGGCAGGGTCTGTTAGTGAAGCCACTCCACGGGGGCCGGGGCTTGCTGTCAGAACTGCCCCGTGCCCACCCCTCGAGCCCAGCATCATGTCATGGGGCCAGGAGGGAGTCACACAGCCTGCCCCGCTCTGAGGGTCCAGCTGCCCCGTTGATTGTCACCTGGTGTCAGCCAGAAGCCTGTCTCCCCAGCTTCGGGGACAACCCTTGGGTGCCACACATCGCTACACCTCACGTGAGGTGTCTAACCACAAAGAGAAAAGTGCACCGATCACATCGCAAAGTAAGCACCGCCAGGAAGGGACACAGAACCCAGAGACACAGAACACGGCCGGCAGCGTAGGGGCTGTGGGGGGCACAGAAACAAAACCAAAACACCACCTGGGCGCGCTGCAGGAAGTGTCCCCCACGTGTCTAAAATGCTAGCCCCTGCACGCCTGCAAAGGGTCCTCCCATCCCAGCTGAGACGCCAGCCCACCCAGCAGCGGCCCGTGGCACCTCCTCCGGAGCGACATGGACCTGATGGAGCCGCCTGTGCTCCAGAGCTGGCTCCGGGAGGACTCCTGCCTTCTTCTCTTCCCAGACAGGAGCCCACGGCTCGCCCCACCCCACCCCTCTGCTCCCCGGCCTGCCCACTTCAGGGGTAGCTATTTAAAAAGGCAGGGTGGGCCTCAATGCTGGACAGGCTCAGAGTCAAGGGCTGGGTGGGCCATGTCCCCTTGTCCGGTGTTGTCCTAGGTCTTCCCAGGATCTTCCCGGGACCCTCTCTGCACCCATCCCCTCAGCACCCACCCGGTGGCCCACTCTTGCCCACCCCTAGGGGAGCCTTCTGTGCTCAGGGGAAGGTTCTAGATGGGTTCATGGCTTTGGTCCAGGGAGAGGACAGACCTGGAGACGTCACAGGTCCTGGGCACAGCATCAGGCTGGGACACAGCCACACTTGCCCCCAGCCCTCTGTGCCCTGCCTGCCCTCTGAAGGCCTCTCCATCCACTTCCACCAGGGGTGTGCAGAGCGGACTGGCACCGGCTCGTTGCTATGTTCTCAGGATTTGCAAGTGGGATTGCTAAACGTAGCCATTGTTAAAATCTAAATTACACAAACTTATAATTAAATAAATTATATTAAGAATAAAGGTGATACTCAGAACTCATCAACTTCTAATTATTTTTATTACATTTTACTATTATCTGTGCCTGTGAAGTTGCTTACACCTCTTGCATACTTATGGTGGGAAAGCCCGGAGGACTGTCTTCTGGGCTCAGCATCCAGGCTTACAGCACTTCCTCCCCATGTCACCCCATGCCAGGAGGGGAGAACCGCGGGTCCACAGAGGAAGGTGCCCCTGCACCGGACCTTCCCACCAGCTAGCTGGGCAGCTGGGGGTTCCTTCTCCAGTGGTTTTGTTTCCCCAGCCCCGGGGCTCTCTCCGGTATCTCTGCGCCCTGGGGATGGAGAGGAAGCCCCAGAGACCATTAGGTCTGGATCCTTCCCTGCCCAGGATTGAAATAAGGTAGAGGGATCAGCAGCTTGGCCCAGCACCCACGGTCCCTGCAGGGCCCCCCCATAGCCCTTCTGGGGGGGTTGCCCTTCTGGGGGGGTTGCAGCGCTCCAGGGGGCTGGGGGTGGAGGGGTCCGGCCCTGGGCCTCCGTGTCCTCCCCTTGGAGCTCCACACTGCTCCCCCCCTCCGCCCCTGTGCCCTGCACCGCCCCAGGCCCACCTCCCCTCCGAGGCCCGCAGCTCCATCCCCTGCAGAGCTCAGTGCCAGGTGCCAGGTCTCCTCTCCCGGAAGTGAAAGTCCGGCCTGGGCCCGTCGGCGTCGTGGGCGCAGGTGGCAGGTGAGCCCCGCCCGCCCCGGGCTCAGGACTCAAGGCCGGGCCGGGGGTTCCCGCTCCGTCCGCGCAGCCGGCCCGGGCCCCGCGGGGCTCTTCTCCTGCGCCCACGCGCCCTCTGCGCCCTGGACCTCCTCGCCCCCGGGACCCCTCGCCTCCGAGTGGCCTCTAGCCTGGGGAGGTCGGGGCGCAGGTCAGCGGGGGCGCGGGGGGGGGGCGCGGCGGGGCTCGGAGCCCACGACGCCGCTGCGGCCCGCGGGGTCCCTCTGGCGCCGGGAAGCGGAGGCCGAAGGACGCGCGGGCTCCGGGGAGGCTCAGGGATGAGGCGCTCAAGGAACGCGGGCGGCGGGGCGCGGGGGGCGCGGGGGGCGCGGTTTCTGACCCAGGTCGCCACGGAGCCGGCTGCGCCTCGAACCCCCGGGCGGCCGCGCACCCCGGGCTCCTGGGCCCCGCGCCGGGGCAGTGCGGGGGCGTCCGCGGGGCCGCCGGGACCGCCGCTCGTCCCGGGCTCCCGCTGGCACCTGCAGCCCGACCCCCGCGCACAGTGGGGGCCCCACTCGGAGCGCCTAGGGCGCGCCGGCCGCTCGGGCCTGTCGGAAGCCCCGAACCGGGCGTCGGAACCCGGACGGGAAGCCGGGGCCCAGCCTCGCGGTGCCGCTACTCAGGAAGCAGGTGCAGGGCGTGGGGGGGGGGTGACTGTGAGTAGAGAACCACCGCGCGGGGCGCTCCGCCCGGGCCGCGACCCCGCCGAGGGCCGGGACCCCCCCCCCACCTGCCGCGGGCCGAGAGGGGGCTCCCGCGGGCCGGAAAGCCCAGCGCGCACGGACACACACAGACGCGCACACGCGCCTTGGAGACGGGAAGGCGCTGGGGGCGCGGAAGGGTCCCGGGGCCTCTCGGGAGCGCGGCGGCCTCAGCGCCTCCCCCGGGGCTGCGGGAGCGTCCGGCCCCGCGGCGCCGTCTGCCCGGAATCGGGCCGGAATCGGGCGGGCTCCGCGGGCAGGAAAGGCTCGGTCGCCAGGGCTGCGTCCGAGAAGTGCCCGCGGGGCGGGGGCGGGGGCGCGGGCGGGGGCGGGCGCGGGCCTCCATTCCCCCGGGACGCGTGGCGCGGTCCCCAAAGCCCTGGGCCTGTGGGAGGGGGCAGGAGAGCCAGGCCCTGGGCCGTGGACCGCTACGCCCGGGGGTACCCGGCTGTGCAGCCCCGCACGAGCCCCGCGGCAGCTCGGCCACCACCTCTCTGGACTCAGCGGCGGCGCGAGGCTCGGCTCCCCAGCGCTCCTCCCCCCCGCAGACGGGTGTAGACGGTTCGAGTCCCGGAGGACCCGCTCCTGCCTTGAGCGCCCCCCGCCCGGGCCCGAGGGTGCTCTGCGCGCCCCAGCGCGTGCAACCGGATTCGGTCTCCCGGGCGCCCGTGGCCCCGTCGGAGATCGGGGCGCACCACGCAGGTGGCCCCCCCTGCAGTCCGGCCCCCCGCCCCCCTCCCGCGGCTCTCGCGCCTTGGGGCGGCGGTGCCGGCTCGGCGGGGGGCGGGGAGGACGCGGAGGACGCGGGCGCGGGCGCGCCCCCAGGACCCCCGCCGCGCCGCGGGCCGGGCCGGGCCGCAGACAATTAAAGCGGGATTCCTCCCCCGCTGACGTCGGCAGCGCCCAGGCCCCTCCCGCGGCGGCATAAAAGGCGCGGGCTCCGCAGCGCGGGCGGCAGTGAGGGCCGGGCAGCGCGGCGGTGCGGACTGCGCGGCCGGCCGAGCAGCGCGGCGCCCAGAGCGCGGGCCGCCCGCCGAGCCCCGGAGCGCGCCGAGCCCCAGCCGCGCCCCAGCCGAGCCCCGAGCCCCGAGCCCCGAGCCCCGAGCCGCGCCGAGCGCCGTCCCAGCGCCCGCAGCCATGCCGGCCCCCCGCGCCGCGCGCACCTGTGCGCTGCTCGCCCTTTGCCTCCTGGGCAGCGCGGCCCAGGATTTCGGGCCGACGCGCTTCATCTGCACCTCGGTGCCCGTGGACGCCGACATGTGCGCCGCGTCCGTGGCCGCCGGCGGCGCCGAGGAGCTCCGGAGCAGCGTGCTGCAGCTCCGCGAGACCGTGCTGCAGCAGAAGGAGACCATCCTGAGCCAGAAGGAGACCATCCGCGAGCTGACCACCAAGCTGGGCCGCTGCGAGAGCCAGAGCACGCTGGACGCGGGCGCCGGCGAGGCCCGGGCCGGCGGTGGCCGCAAGCAGCCCGGCGCGGGCAAGAACACCATGGGCGACCTGTCCCGGACGCCGGCCGCCGAGACGCTCAGCCAACTCGGGCAAACTTTGCAGTCGCTCAAAACCCGCCTGGAGAACCTCGAGGTCCGCGCGCGCCGCGGCTGCCCCTCCGGCTCGCGCGCCCCTCTGCCCTGCCCCACCCCACCCCGCCCCCGCCCCCGCCCCGGCCCGACCCCCCCCACCCCCCCCACCCCGCCCCGGCCGGGCCGGATGCCCGACAGGGGCCCCGCAGACGGCCAGGCCGCCCCCGCATTCGCCCTGAGGGGACCGCGCCGTGGGCCTTGCGCTGGGTCCCGCTCCGCGCGTAACGCTGTGGCTCCCCCCGCCCTTGCACCCCCGCAGCAGTACAGCCGGCTCAATTCCTCCAGCCAGACCAACAGCCTCAAGGATCTGCTGCAGAGCAAGATCGATGACCTGGAGAGGCAGGTGCTGTCTCGGGTGAACACTCTGGAGGAGGGCAAGGGTGGCCCCAAGAACGACACGGAGGAGAGGGTCAAGATCGAGAGCGCCCTGACCTCCCTGCACCAGCGGATCAGCGAGCTGGAGAAAGGTAGCCCCGGGGCGGTCGGGGTGGGGGGCTCCCCTCCCAAATGCTGCCCGCCCCGCCGGGCTCCCTGGGCCACCGGACCCTGCCTCGGGTCCTGGCTTCCTGCATCGCTCAGCTCCAGGCTGTAAAAGCCCTGAAGCTCCTCCAGCCCCTTCCCGCTCCGCGAGTCCCTGCCCTGGGTTTTGGGTTTCCAGGCGGTGTTCCTGGTAGGTCTGGGGCCCCCTGGGCTGGGGACCTCAGGAGGGAAGGGAAGCGGAGTGAGGAAGGGGTTCATCGGTGTCGGCTGCACCCCCTGCACACACACACTGGAAGGATTTTTCCAAGTCCGATTTGTTTAATCTTCAGTAAGTTTGCACTGTAGCTGTGGCGCTCCGAGCCCTCCCTGCCGAGGAAGACCGGCTCCAGCTGGTCCCCGTCCCCAGCAGAGAACAGGGACCCGGCTGGGGATGGTCCTCCCGGTGCCCAGTGGATTTGGTCCCCGAGCAGGTTTTCTCTCACGCCTAATGCACCCCTGGTGTCCTCTGGGGATCTCCGGGTTCCCCGCTTCAGGTGAGCACCCCTCCCCGTGGTTTTATTTCCTGAGTGACCCACAAGCCCTGGCATCTTGCATGTCCTGTGGTTCCTGGCTCACCAACGCTGGCCAGCCCCAGCTGCACCCCGGGGCTCACAGATGAGCTGGGCTCAGCCTTGAAGTCACGGAAATCAAACAAGGTTGTAAAAGGGGGGGGGGGTCCTGGGCTGGGAGCCGGGCCACGTGACCCTTCTTGGACCGCAAAATGTGCCGGCTGGATTTAAACAGTGCCATCTTAAGGCATGTTATATAACTGAAAAACAGATCAGGGGAAGGAGGGACGGGGGAGGGAGGGGGGAGGAGGGGGAAGGAGGGAGGGGAGGTTGGGGGAATGAAAACCACCCCCTAGGGAGGCCAGGGGCTGGATCTGCTCCAAGGTGTGTGTTGGGGGGTGCGGGAATGCGAGCCGAGATGGCTGGGGGAGCCCTCAGGGGGCCAGCCCTGCCGTTCCTTAGTTCCTTACCGGATACCTGACTTGGATGGCGGGTTGCTGGCCCAGCAGGATGCCTTCTAGAAATAATTCTTGGCCTGGGGGCCTGTTTAGTTCTGGGCTCCCTGGCGAGCCCCGGAGCACACCCAGGAGCTGGCAGGTGTGTGTCTTCCTGGCTCCGAGCCTGGTGCCTGTGCCCACTGCTGGGTTGGAATGTTTTGCCTGGAGTCAGTCACACCACACCCAGGGCCACAGCTCCAGTGCGTGTGTGGGTGGGGAGGGGGCAGACAAGCGTTCCCCGAGACACACATCGCTGGCAGGCAGGGAGCTGGTGGCTGTTGTGTAAAGGGAAGCTATCAGGCCAGGAGCCTGATTTTTCAGGAAACGCAGAGGAAGCTCTCCCTGAGAGTGAGTGGCACAGTGCTCAGATCAGTCCGCTGGGCCGGGGCTGGGGGCCGGCTCCCTGCTGTCCTGCCCTCCGTGCGGGGCTCCACGCCGACTCTAGAAGAGCCTCAGAAGAACGCCTTTCCCTCCCGTGGGGGTAGATGGGATTCTGGAAATAGCCGGAGTCCTCGGGGCTGGTTGATCGGGTCAGGAGAGTGGCCAGGGACTGCAGCACGTCCTGGGCCTGAGAGGAGTGCGCTGGGCACCGGGGGCCTGGTTGTCTCAGGTGGGAATCCAACACGAGTATTTGTGAACATGGCTGGCAGCCTGCATCCCTGGAATCGGGTCTGTGAAGGGGCTGCTGGGGTGGAGCCAGGCTGCAGGAGACCCCCTGCCCCTGGGGCTGCACCATCAAGGGCCGGTTTACCCGCTGAGCGCTGACCCATTCCCTGCCCGTGCCCACCGCACAGCCTAGGCACGGAAGCCTCCAGCCCCGCACGCTTCCCCCCACCCCCCCTGCCTCCCTAGGGGCAGGATGTGGGAGCCTGACCAGGGAGTGCAGAGATCGTGGGTCAGCTCTTTTGTTCTGGCCCTGTGCCCTCGGGCAGGGCAACGCTTGACCCTGCTGGGCCTCCCTCTCAGCTATTCTAGAAGGGAGAGCAGTGTGCTTGTCCCGCTTCCCAGAGCGTGGGGGGGGGGGCGTCGGTTTCCAACGACGACAGGGACAAGTGCTTTGAGGTGCAGATGACAGGATTGTGTCCTGTCCTTTCCAGGTCAGAAGGACAACCGCCCTGGGGACAAGTTCCAGCTCACATTCCCGCTGCGGACCAACTACATGTACGCCAAGGTGAAGAAGAGCCTGCCGGAGATGTACGCGTTCACCGTGTGCATGTGGCTGAAGTCCAGCGCGGCGCCCGGGGTGGGCACACCTTTCTCCTACGCCGTGCCGGGCCAGGCGAACGAGCTGGTGCTCATCGAGTGGGGCAACAATCCCATGGAAATCCTCATCAACGACAAGGTAGGGGCTCTGCCCACCTGGCCCTGTAGGACAGCGTCGTGGGGGCCCAGGCCCACCTGGCTGCTGGGGCGAGTCTGCAGCAGGGGGGACACACAGCCAGGGACGTGGCTATGGCCCCACCAGAAGGGCAGGCAGGCAGGACTCGGGGCGGGGGGGATATGACAGGCAGGAGGGCGCCCTTGGCCATGCTCCGTGGACGGGGTGAAGCTGGAACTGCCCCAGAGGGAGGCCAGAGGATGATCCAGAGGGTCCTGCGTCTCTGGGATCGATCCCTGGCTCCTCCTCCCCCGCCTGCCGCAGAACTGGCTTTGCTCCTTCGGGGGGAGGACCGCAGAGGCTCCCCGGGTGGTAATTCTAGGGTGGAGATTCTTCCAGAGTCCAGACCTATACCCTGCTCGACCCCTGCCCCCTGGGCTCTTGGAGGGTGCGGCCTCGTCCCCACGGGGAGCCTTCTCCACCCTGGCCTTCTGCGAAGCTCAGAACGAGCTGCCAGCCGTCCAACCCCCTCGTCGCTGTGCCAGCGCCGCTAGTAAACATCTCAAGCTCAGGCTGGGGATTGGAACCCAAGCCCTCACTGCGGATGCCATGACCAGGAAGGCTGTTCCTTTCTGAGCCCCAAGTGAAAGGGTCTATGGGTCGCACCATCCACCTTCCCCCACCCCCCAGTGCTGGAGAGGGAGGGAAATCCCAGGCCAGAGGCTGGCCTTGCGCTTTAAAAGGGTCGGTGCCGTGCCCCCTGGCGTCGGAGTCTGCAGAGGCTGTGCAGTGTAGACCTAGCAGGAGAGCGGAGAGGCCCAGACGGTAGCCGTGAGCTGAGACCCCAGCGGTGGGCCTCTCCCTCCCAGGGCCGGTTTTGTAGACCAGCAAAGAGGGAGGAGGGTGAGGAGCGGTGAGGATGTTGTGTGTTCGGATGGACCTTAGGGGCCCTTGACAAATGGTCACATTTCCTGTGTGACTCCATGGTTTGTTGATGGATGGGGCTGGCGGACGATAAGGTCTCGGGGGGCAGGTGCCGAGACAATTCCCTAACGGCCCATGGTAATTATTTTAAATGTCGTGATGGGAAGAGTAACAGTTGAACCAGCGAGTGGCGACGATCACTGACCCTGTGCCGTGCCCTGTGTCCATCGCGTCGTGTGTGTCCTCCTTCCTCCCAGGTGGCCAAGCTGCCCTTTGTGATCAACGATGGCCAGTGGCACCACATCTGCATCACCTGGACCACCCGGGACGGGGTCTGGGAAGCCTACCAGGATGGCACCCAGGGTGGCAATGGCGAGAACCTGGCACCCTATCACCCCATCAAGCCGCAGGGTGTACTGGTGCTGGGCCAGGAGCAGGTACTGGCCTGGGAGCTGGGGGGATGCTGGCTGCGGGGGGAGGAGCCCCAGAACCATGGCAGGCGGGTGGCCGGGTTACCGGGGGCAGCAAGGAGGGAAGGAGCCACGGAAAGCCGGTTGTGCGGCAGCTGCGGCAGGGTCCCTGCCCTGCGGGCAGGAGTGGGCTCGGTCTGTGTGCTCTCGGGGGCTGCAGCAACACCCCCGGGCACGGGAAGTCTAGTCCGCTGTTAGCGATGCGTGATTTATTTCCTGGAAATTGCTTGTGTCCCGCTGGGCAGCCAGAGGGAAGCGCAGGTGGGAGTGTCCCAGGCCTTCTGTTCTGTTGGGCTCCTCAAGGAGTGACACCTGAGCTCCTCCGGGCCCTGCTCCTGTGATGGTGCCAGGCCCCAGCGGCCCCCTCGCTGGCCCCCTCGCTGGTGGAGGGACGGCCCGCAGGTGAGGCAGAGTGCAGGTGTTCCCGGAAGAAGCTCTGCATCCGGGACACAGGTGGCCAGTAGTGTCCCCTTTCCTGGGCTCCCCGTGGGAGGGGGACCGATGCGTCACCGAAGACCCAGAGACAGGATGTGAAATATCCTTGGGGGTCCGTGTGAGAGAGCCCCTGATGGGGACACATCACGTGCCCCCTCGAGAGACCCCCCCCATGGCCCCCTCCACCCTCACTCTCTGCTTCTCTCTCGAGGACACTCTGGGCGGCGGGTTCGATGCCACCCAAGCGTTTGTGGGTGAGCTGGCCCATTTCAACATCTGGGACCGCAAGCTGACCCCCGGGGAGGTGTACAACCTGGCCACCTGCAGCAGCAAGGCCCTCGCGGGGAACGTCATCGCCTGGGCCGAGTCCCACATCGAGATCTACGGGGGGGCCACCAAGTGGACATTCGAAGCCTGTCGCCAGATCAACTGAGGCTCCTGCCGGCCGAGCCTCCCCCCTGCTTGTGCGGTGATGACCCTCTCGTGTCTCCTTCTCTCCCTCTCCCCAGGAGTGACTCAGGCCCTCACACGCCCACGCGCACGCACACGGCCTGGCTCGCCCTTGTGCCCCAGGGGAGGCCCTGCTCCCCTGGGGGAGCCCACCCTGGTTCCCCGCTCGTGCTCGCAGGCCCATGCGGGCGTAGGTGAGGTCGTGTGTGTGTGTGTGTGTGTGTGTGTGTGTGAGTGTGTGTGTGTGAGTGTGTGTGTCTCGGGGAGGCGCTTTCTTTCAGAATGAGCTAGCTCCTTTCCTCGTCCCTCCGCGGTGTCGGGAAACCCTGACGGGGCGAACATGTGAACCTGCTGAGCCCGCGCCGCCCGTGGGCCCCGGGGCCGCGCGGCTTCTTCCGCGCCCGCGTCTGTCTTCGCAAACCCTGTCCGGCGCGGCCGGTCTCTGTGTGGGAAGATACGTGCCTCTCAGCGGTCGGCTCGAGGCCGGGGGGCCTCTCCGCAGAGACTCTCTCTCGTAGCAGGAGCGGATCGTCCCCGACGGGGCCCTGGGGTGGCAGCTCATGCCCTGGGGCCGGGCATGGGGTGGGGGCGGGGGGCCGGCCTCGGGGAGCGGCCAGCGCCCGCCCAGCTGGTTTGCATGCCCAGCTCTCAGCTCGGCCCAGCACCGGTGCCTGCCCCCAGGCTCGTCCCTCCCTTGCGGCTGCCAGCTGGCGCCCCTGGGATGAGGGGTCCCTCCCATGGCCCAGGAGGCCCCCTCGCCTTTGGCCTTGGGCGGCAGGGACCGGAGGCATCCATGGGTCAGCTCCACGGAGGACCCGTTGGACCAGGAAACCCATGTTCTGATTAAGACCCAGCCAGGTCGGGCCCCTGATGCTGGACGTGCGCGGTGGTGAGGTCCAAGCTCATCTTGACAGCCCCCCTCCTCCCGCACCCCCGGGGCCCGTGGGCTGACGGCCAGTCCTCCCCGGGGCAGGGCCTCCGAGCTCCACACGGAGCCCGGCAGGGCCTGAGACCCGCTCCCCATCACAGGTCCTGCAGGGGCCCCCTCCCGTCACCAGCTGGTGACCCCCAGGCCCCCCAGAGCCTTTCCTTCCCCGCCGTGAACAGCACCCATACACATTTCCTCCTAGTCCTTCCGAGGCGGGGGGAGCGTATGTGTGTGTGTGTTTCTGTGTGTGCACGCGTGTCGAGAGAGAGAGAGAGAGAGAGAGAGAGAGAGAGAGAGAGAGGAGGAGAGGAGAGCGCGCTCCAAGACGGATCACGCCCACGGTGAGCTCCCTGCTCTGTTGTACCATCTGGGGGTCGCACCCTGGACTCTGTCGCCAGGAGTCTAATTAGCAAAAGGCTGGCACGTCTTTCTAGAAATTCTCCCGCACTGCCTGGCTCATCTACAGCTGCAGACATTTCTTCGGGATGAGCAGGTGTTCCCATCTTCTGTCCCTCCCGGGGGCACCTGTCTCCTTAAACGCAGGTCCGTGTTGTGTCGGAAACCTAGTGCATCTGTGTGTGTCTGTGTTGTTGTCTCTGTGTTAGTGTTCACGTGGGCGTCCGCGCGGCACCCGGTGGCCGTTCCCCAGAACGGGTGCGGGCCGGGCGCGCGCGCTGCGTGTTGTGGTTCAACAGTGGCTTTTTTCTGAGACCATCGTGCTTCGTCAGAGCCCGTCGGGTTGTGGCATCTTTGGATCTGCAGGGATCTTCTGTGTTTGCATGTTCCTTGGGGTGGCGCGTCCCTTGCTCCTTTGGTCCGATGTGTGTCCCCCCTGCCTGCATGGACTTCTGGTTCTGTGTTGTGTGCGCACTGCCACCCGTCGTTCCGTGACCATCCACGTAGCTACCGAAAATGGCTGGAGAAGCAAGCCAAGGGTGTCGGGGGAGGCCCGGCGAGGGAGCCGTCTCCCTCTCCCCCTCCCCACTCCCCAAACACACCAAGAAGTATTTTTCACATGTAGGTTGACAAGGAGCCTAAACAGAGCCCATGACTGGGACGGAGCGAGAGCTTGGAATCACCCCTCTAGACCAGGTCGGCCCCACCCCTCACTTCAGCCCCCGGCGGCTGTTGCTTAGGCAGAGGCCCAGGGGGGGGGGTGCTGGGTGCTCCCCTGTCAGCACCTGCCACCAGCCCCTGCCGATGATCTAGCGGACCCCAGACCACCGTGTGCCCCCCGCGGGCCCGGTGGGAGCTGTCCGTGCAGGACCACAAGCCATCCTCTGCCCCTGCCAGAGCCGGGCAGAGCCGACCCCAGACGCTATGCCTACACCCCCGTGGCCCCCCTGCCCCGTGCACCTTCCTCGCCCTCCCCGGCCGCACCCCCGCGGTGCCGAGGACAGAAGCTGACATTTGGCTTCCTCCCCGCCCCTCTCCGGAGCCTGTGCCAAGCCCCTTGACTCCCTCACTGTGTTCACACTTGGCACGTTGCTGGCCCCGAGAAAGGTCGATGACACAGCCACAGATCTAATCCACGTAGTCTCCCATCTCCTTAATCTGACCGACGCTCCCTCTTGCACTGAACACCACATGCCTATCTCAGGTAAGCCGTTTTATAAAATAAGAAGATGCACAGCACTGCCGAGGCGGTGTTGGCTCTTGCCGAGCTGGTGTCCCACAGCTCCCCGGGTGTCCGAGCTGGGGGAGCTGCCGACAGAGGCTCTCCGGGCCCTCGGGGCTTAGATCCCACTGGAATCGTAAGCCTTCTTGCTTTTGATAACACAGTATTATTTCTCTTACTGTAGAAGAAAAAAGTTTATTACCAAACAAGAGTATTTTTATGAAAGAAAAGGACAAACCTATAAAATTAACTCAACCTATATCTCCCTGGAAAATACTTTCAGGCTCCGCCAAAATGTAGGATTGAAAGCGTGTATTTTGGAAGAAAGAGATACATTTTGTATGCTTTCTTTTCCTTTTTGTAGATTCCCGGTTTATTTTCTAAGACTGCAAAGATCACTTTGTCACCAGCCCCGGGACCTGAGACCAAGGGGGTGTCTTGTGGGCAGTGAAGGGGGGGAGAGGCCGGCGTGAGGTTCAGTCATTCCAATGAGCTCCAGAGAGGGGCCACGTGTGCTCAGAGGTGTTGGGGACCAGGATGCGAATTGGCCCATTCGTGGTGGACCCTTTGCCTCGGAGCCCATCAAGTCCAGGACTTGATGGTCAGTTCCAATCCCGGTAGAAGAAACTAGGGTTGCGTGTTGCTAACACGAAGAGGATAGAACGCTTTATAATCTCATGGCAACCAAAATGTGGCTTGACACAGCCGTGGTTTCATCTCTTAAAACACAGCGCGTACATTTATTCAGCTAATGATGGGAAACGTGTCACTTCCGGGCACAGTGGACTTAAGTGCAATTTGTCCAAAGGGAACAAGTCATTGAGGAGAAAAAAAAAAAAAAAGCCCAATACTTAGAGTCCCGATCTTGTCTTATTTGCCAAAAACAAACAAACAAATACAACAAAGCAAACCCCCTCTGGTTGATATTGTTACAATGTATATACTGTATAATATGAAAGAGAATCGACGTATCTTACTTTTTCATTATTTGCTAACCAAAGCTGTACATTTTTCATATGATCTGCAGCCTTTTGGGTATCAAATGGGTCAAAACCATGGGACCTGCCACCTCCCATCAGCAATTCTGGAAATGCACTATTTCTACTGGTATTGCTTTTTTTTTCATTTTCTTGCTGAAACGACATGAATTGTTGAGTTTATTTTTACACAGTAAAGAGTGAAGAAAGACGGTGGTGTGCGTGGAGTGTCTCTCTCCTCAAGCTCGCCGGGGCCACCCCGACCTGCCTCAGGGAGGGGCCGCCCGGGCACTGTGCCCCTGGCAGTCTCACGGCCTTTGCTGATGCTGGGACATGGGTGTGGGGGGCGCTGGGGGGGCTGGGGTTCACAGGTGCCACTGGCACGGGGGCACAGAGAGGGAAGGGACGCCCTGGCTGGGTGTGGCCACACTGGGCTTGGGGTGCAGAGTGCCCCCCGCCCCCATTCCTTGCCTCACCTGCAGGCCCGCTCCCTCCTGGGCGCATGCACTGCCCCCACCGCCGCACAGACGGGCGACGCTCCAGGCCACCCCGGGCTCGTGCTTCCCAAGCCACCCTGCTCTGTTCTTTGCCATGTCACTGCCGGCCGGATCGTGGCCAACGCCTGGTCACCTCCCCTCTTCTGCGGTTCCCGGGCCCCTTCCCTGCACTCAAATAGGAGAGCATCCCCACATTCACACGACAAGGGGGGCAGGTGAGGCGGGGGCTTCCCTCCTGGCCCCTCGCGAGCCCAGCTAGACTCTGCATGCACATAGAGCTCGTGAGCCGCTCCAAGGGACAAAGGGACCAAGAGCAAAAATAGCCCACCTGGTGGATTGGTCTCCCCACCGCACCCCAACACACATGTGCACGGCAGCTTCGCAGAAGGGGTGAGCCCCCGGCTTCTCGCTGGCACTGACCGTGCTCCTCCCCTCACCCACGGACTTCCTGCCTGGTGGGGTCGGTGGCCTCTGTTGGGGGCCCGGGAGCCGGCGTTGGCTGGGGCGTGAGCGAGGCCCCTGGTGGCCGGTGGGTCAGTTCTCCCTGTTGTGCCTGCGGGAGGAGCCTCTGGGCCCCAGAGCTGCCTGGGGGGGGGGGGGGCTGCAGACCTCACACCTGGCCCTGTGGCCGGGCCGGGGCCGTGCTGTCCCCGCAGCCGCAGCCCACGCTCTGCCTCTTCGCGTCCCCTCGGGAAAGCGCATGGTCAGGCCCGCGATAACGTCACTCTGAAGTTGTTCATTTCCCTGAGGAGCTCGTTCAAAGGCTCGGGTGTCTCAACTATGATTAGAAACGAGTTTCTCTCCACACACCTCTCTCCCGATCCTGGCGCATCAATGAATGACGTCGGGGGCCTTGAAACGGAAAACGACTGCTCAGGGGAGGGCTGTGGGGCGCCGGCTTGCGTGGGGGTCTGAGCAGGGGGACACAGGCTTGGGACAGCAGCGCCAGTGTCTGGGGGTCAGTGATCCCGGCAGCCCAAGAGACGCCTGAAACTCCTCTCGGCTTGTACACCTCTGGTGATGGGGAGCTCACTATCCCACAGAGACCGTCTGTCCCGCTTTCAGACAGCTCCACCAGGGAGTTTCCTTACATGTTTCTGTTATCTGCCTTTTATTTTTTTTAAGATTTTTAAAATTTATTAATGAGAGACACAGAGAAGCAGAGACACAGGCAGAGGGAGAAGCAGGCTCCATGCAGGGAGCCTGACGCGGGACTCGATCCCAGGACCCCGGGGTCACGGCCTGAGCTGAAGGCAGACGCTCAGCACTGAGCCCCCCCGGGTGCCCCATCTGTTCTCTTCCTTGGATCCTGTGCTCAGTTGCTTATACTGAGGTGCAGCTTCCACCCACCTGTTCCCACACGTGGACGCCCACCATGTGCCCCGCGTCCCCACCACCCCTCAGCCGTCGAACCACACGGGGCAAGGGGGCCACCTGTCTGATTTGTGGCTTTGTCTAGCTCCATCGTTGAGGGGGGAAAGCTCAGTCTCGAAGGCCTGTGAGATGCCTGGGCTGGGAGAGCCCTGAGGGTCCCCTAGCCCAACCCCTCCATTTTCCGGATGAGGGGATCGAGGCCCAGAGAGGCCGTGTTCAAAGTCACACAGCTCGTGTACACCGGCCCGAATCAGACCTCGGGATTCCTGACTCCCAGCCCAGGGCTCAGCGGCCTCACCTGTCACCACCTGGCAGGTAACGACGGGGGCAGCCCCCCCTCCTCTTCCTCCATCACCCCCGCTCAAGAAGGTTGACCCCCACCCCTCACTCCCCATGGGGCCTCCGGTGACCACTCCCTCCTGAGGCACTGAATGCCGAGAGGAGCTGGCCGGGTTGGGGGGTGTGGTCTCCAGGTTGGGCCGCAGGCCATGTCGGTGCAGCCCTGGGGCCCAGCAAGGGCCTCTCGGAAGGCCTGGGGGGCTGCTGGGCCGCTCCTGCCTCCCCCGGCCCTCCCCACCCCCACCCAGGGCCGCAGCCGGCGTCTGTCCCGCACGGCTGACCTGCTCCAGGCCTTGTCGAACTCCTGGCCCCCCGCAGGGGCAACGGAGAAGCAGAGAGTGACCCGGGGAGGGTCTGGGTGAGACTCGAAGGAGCCCACTGCCAAGTACAGGATCTGCTTGAAATCCTGCATTTTACCTGAAGCTACAACGTGGATTCGCGTCCTCCTCCACACCAGACCCCTGCAGACCCCGACCTGGTCCCTGCCCCG